GTGTGTGTGTGTGTGTGTGTGTGTGTGTGTGTGTGTGTGTGTTACATAGAAAAGAGAAATGGAGATCTAACTCTCTGGGGAACGAGCACACACATAGCTGGAAGTGCAAGCAATACAAGCTGTTCAGTGAAGCAGAATACAGACGGTCCAATTCAAATGCAAGACACAAAAGAAAAATCATTTCAGTCATTTTAGTACAATCACACACAGACACACACACACACACACGCACTTAGACCTCAACCTTTATTCTCCTTTTTGGGTTTGCGTTGCTTCTCCAAAGCTGAGTGGAGTCAAAGCCCCTCTACTTTAACCCTCTACATCTTTATTGAGGATAATTCACCTGACATCAGTTGGCCCTTTAGGTACACAGACATGTGGACTTGCTTGACAGATGAACCAGTGAACTTCAGATCCAGCTGTGGGTCCAGGGGTTTAGATTCAGGGGTGGAGACGACAGCAGGGAGAAGTCGGGCTGTGCATGTATGTTGGTGTGCCCGTGTAATGTGTGCATTAAACTGTTTGTGGTAACTGCACCTGTGTGATCTGCAAGCAGCAGCTTCAGGCTCACAGTGTAAACAAGAKGGCGTCATTTTTAAAAGATGTTAAAAACATTTGATTGTGCAGCTTGTAGAGAGGCAAAAAACATATTTTAGCATCATTCTGTTAAACTCACTGCTCTTCCTCAGCTGTGATGCCAATTAGCGCTTCGGCCTTGTGGCTCTTTTCATAACTGCACAGCTTTATCTGAGCAGAGCAGAAAGTAAAGTGAAAGTCAGACGTATCTGAGCGATCACTCTAAATAATAAAACCTGGAACATTCCCTGTATGAGTTACTCACGTGTTCACCCTGCACCTGAGTCTGAGCACATTTTTTGAAAAGTGTATTGTGTAGTTTCACACATCAGCATGAAATATTCAAACTCAAGCTCATGTTTGACTTCAAAACACCATCCAGATCATTTTTGTCCTGCAAAAGCAACAATGGTCATTTTCTTTTCATGGATTTTCCTCCTTTGTTTCCTTCCCCTCCCCTGTTTGCCACAGCTCTCCCCAGACAAAGGATTCAGCTGGCTTTTGATAAAAATTACTACATCGAGCCATCGTTCGAGTGTCGCTTTGATCACATCGAAATACGTGATGGGCCGTTTGGGTTCTCGCCGCTCATTGATCGCTTCTGCGGTGGAAAGAATCCGGGCCTCGTTACATCCACGGGGCGTTTCATGTGGGTCAAGTTCACCAGTGACGAGGAGCTGGAAGGCCTCGGCTTTCGCATCAAGTACACCTTTATTGCAGGTGAATGGAGACATCACATCACAGAACCCCATCAGAGTGAGAGAGAGAGATCAGTTCTATAAACATCAAAGGTGTTGAGGGACACGTGTGAAAAGCTAAAACTGAGAAACAAAAATYCAATCTGTTACAAAGATTTGGATCTTTACAAAGATTTTTTTGGTCATAATCTCATCATGCACAGGTTCTTTAAAAGTTGTTACTTTTTCAAATAGCATTAAAGTTCATCCTGTTCTTCTTCCAATGATAAGCTCAAGCTAAAACACATTTTAAACCTGAACCCAATGTGCCTGGAAATCAGAGCCTCCCATCAGGCCACAGATAAAGGAACCTCTCTCTGCTTTATCTGGCCAAGCTTAATGGGATCTTATCTTGTGTTTTCTGCTTACCTATTTCTGCTCTGTGGTTTGAGAGTAATGTGCCTCCCAAATTTGCCCATTTCAGACCCTGATTTCCATCTGCACGTGGGCGGACTGCTGAATCCAATTCCAGGTACGATCCTCAGTATTTATTTTTTATTTTTTTGGGGGGTTGTGTCCGCTCCGTTTTGAAGAGCCCCCCTCGTGTGCTCCAAAGCTTTCCGGAGGCGCTCTCTGACTGTGACGTGAATGCTTAAAGAACAAATGTACCTTGACAAGCCCATAATTGTGCATGAAGTCAAAGGATGTACGTGCGCACACACGCACACATTTAAGCCCCTGAAAAACATACACGCCTCCTTTTTATCTTTTCCTTCCCTCCTTGTCGTTTTGCCTTTGTTCCTCTCTCTTTACAATGTCCCTCGTCATAATCTGCTCTGCTCACTTCAATCGAACTATAAATCCTTTTCACTTCTTAACAAAATCCATCGTGTGTCCCTCTGTCTGTCATGCTCCTCTTTTCACCATAATTGTTTTCCTCTATCTTCTGGTCTTTCATCTTCATGTTTTTCTTCTTTTCTTTTTTTTCCTCCTCTCACTCTGGTCCGTGTGACCCTTCTGTCATTTTTTTCTTTTTTCACTTGTTTCTTTCTTCCTCCTCTTGTTTTATCTTACCTCTGCTCTACATCTCYCTCTGTCTCCCTGCAGACTGTCAGTTTGAAATTGGCGGATGGGATGGGATTATTCGCTCCAGTCAGGTGGAAGARGAAGAACGAGTGAAGCCTGGTGATGCTCTGGACTGTATCTGGACCATAAGAGCTCCTCCTAAGTCCAAGGTCAGTACAAAGAACTGTATCAGTCAGGCCCTAGTGATRATGCTGGACATTGCTTCTTCACAGCTTAGACCTATGCTTTTTCCTCATGTCACAAAAAAAAAGAAAAAGAGCTATCAGCAGGAGTCCAGTCAATGTTTCTGTTTTGATGAGTTATATTCGTGCTTATTTTATCATGTTCAGACRTTATGCACTCTCACTACTGACTGTGGCTGCACCAAAAGTCTGAAAACTATGCTCACTGAAAAACTAAGTTAAGCACAATGGGGTGAAAATGAAACTGTGTGACTTTAGTGCTGGGGTTTTTCTATCAGATCAAAAGGAGTTGGCAACACAGGCATATAGCTGGTCCCATGTCAGTAGGGTGCGACACCGGTCTGGATACAAGTGCCGACTCAGTGCTTAACATTCATACAGCCACTGTATTCTGTTTGGAAAGTCGGCCCAAAGCTGTTGTAAGTTGCCCTTGAGATCTGACGGATTGGAACTGGTCAGGATTGATTTCTTAGCTGATCCCACACGTTTGATTGGAGAAAGATTGGGGGACTTTTGACCTCAGGAGGACCTCAGTATGACGCTGACAGTTGTGTGTCATCTGTGTTGATGGGTGTTTTTAAGACATGCCAGCAAAGAATTCATTCATCTGTTATCTATACCCGTTTGTTTTCCTTTCTGAGTCACGAGGGTCACTGGTGCCCATGTCCAGCAGTCACTGTGCAAGAGGCGGGGTACACCCTGGGCAGGTCACAAGTCCATCACAGGGCACCGACAGAGGATATCATTGAAATACCTCTGTGCCATTAAATCTCCCAGGTTACCATCAGAGGTGACCTGAAATCAGACCCACACCACAATGACATGAGGAACACTGTGTGTCACTTTGATAGGATTGTTTTTCTCCCTGCAGCTTTACCATACGTGCTCATGATTATCATCTGGAGTAGGGAACGAACCACAGTTCATTGCTGAACATTATGATGCCATTCATCAATACATCTTCAGTCCAATCACAACCCTCTCTGCTCTGGTGGTAAAAGCAGTCACATTAGATGTGAACTCATAGTTTGGTTGTTGAGACATAATGCAGAATGCCCGAGGTGTTGACTCCAAGAACTGGGTCGAGATGAACTGGGTGCAAAACAACAACAACAACAACAACAACAATCTCTTCCTAATGTTTGTCTTGGATGAGTGGAATTACCTTGATGTACATGGGTGTCCTCATTTGCTCCAACATCCTGTAGCATCTGTACACATCATATGCTGAGCACTTACACAAAATGATCACCTGTCCCTGTGCAAACCCACAGTGGGACTCATGCCAAAGTGCTGGCAATGTTGTCAAATGTAACCAAAAGGCATACTCTTTTCGCATGCCCTGGCAACTGCCTGATAACACTATCACTCTACTTGTGATGCCACTACTTACATGTGTCATTTTAACATGTATTCTAGAAATGCCAGCAGTTTGCAAACTGAATCGTTAACAAACCTATAAATGTATACATATGACAAAACTGACCCATTCCTCCTGAGTGCTTGCATTGTTTGTCAGTGAATATGTTTGATTAAAATTTATGTTAATTTCATATACATTATTTCACTGCTCAATGTGGAAAATGTTTTGCATCCTAGCTGAAGCACTAATGAAAGCACAAACCAAAGAGAAGTATTTATTTATCTCTAAATGGTAAAACCCAGCATGGAGTTGTGTGATGGACCGCATGCGAGTCGCTGAAAATCACATAATATGAGACCACATCATTTAAAATAAGTCCCAAACTAGATGTCATGCAAATAAAAGAAAATCCAAGAAAAAAATCAATTTAAAGACCACCATGAAGATTTGCCTTGTAAACAGAGCTGAAGTAGACGAGTGCTCTAAATGTTGAGGAAAAGCTCCAAATGCGTAAATGGTTGCAAAATAAGCTCTACAAAGCCCTCTTGTGTACAATAATTCTGTTTAATGCACCTGCCCCTCCATTCTGTGGAAGCATTCAAACAATAAACATTAATGATGTTTTCCATATTTACATTAATTTTAGGGCTTCCGACTGAAACAGGAAATGTGACTCCAGTGTGCGTTTCAGTTTCGAGTTCACCCCTCTTGCACCAGTGAAATAATCTCAGCATCTGCTTTGTACCAGGAAAGCAACTCTCACATGTTCTGTAGCTAAATGTAATTAAGCAAACAGATAACCTGTGTGCATAACTGTGCAAACACGCACACTGTATATCATTAACAAGTTAAAGTAATCACCTATTTACACAAGATATTTGTGACCATTTTCTCGTAAAATTAGAAAACAGAAAAAATTGTTATGTATTTACAGCATGCAGAAACTTCTCTAAAACCACTATAAGTACCCGCAATAAATACAAAATGCAGAAATATTTGTTGTGACCCTACTTTATAGCATTTAGACCAACTCGTATCCCCAACCCCCAAACTCGTTTTTGAAAATTTAAACCAGGGGTGTTAAATCACAGAKGGTATTGAATAATAAATTTAACATTTACCATTGAAATAAAAACTATTTTCATAATAAGTTAAGTAAAAAAACTACTTATTTGTTTTGGACACTAATATACATGTCTAAATCATTTCATAGCCTAAAATGCATCAATTTTTTGTGGGTGGGGTCCTTGAGAAAACGCCACTATCCTGCTTTAAACTGAAATAACAAAAAGCCAAATTAAAAACTATGGAATCTAAGAAAGATTAACAATACAGTGATTTTTAAAACAAACTTTTACTAATGAGAAAAATTTGTTTAAGTTTATCTTCCTTTAATGCTCAGTTGTTCAGAGTGAACTGTGCAGATTATGCTGTTCTCTTATAGTTTTTCCTCCTAAAGGGTATCTATCACACAGTAGTTTACTGTGTAACACTGTATCCAATGATGTAGCATAAGACTGATGAGAATTACACAGGTTTTTGTTGAGCTTAAGGTACAATTAGAGATCGCAACGAGAAAAAACAGTGAACAGATATTTTAGTAATAAAAGTGGCTCTGGAGCTCCGGGAGGAGTGTTTTCTGCCTAAGACTGACAGATCACTGACGTCTGTGGATATTTATGAGGTGATATTAAAAATCTGATTGAAATTACAAACATGGCAGAGGCTGGCCTTGATTCATCGCCGCTCTGTTTCTCCCTCGTGGTGAAATGAGTCATCCAAACTCCCGCGCTGCTCACTGGCCACAAAATAAACACAAATGAATTTACATCTCATAGCGTAAAGCCACAGATGTACACTAATTATGTAACTAAATGCCGCATAAGGTGAGCATTTACCCAGGCAGATCATAAAGGTATTTGTACATATATAGCAATATTTTCTGCATGTATAAACAGGGATGCATGTGGCAGCTTTTCACCCCGACAGACGGGTTTCTGTTGTTGGACGAGTAGGTTTTGAGGCAGCAGTGACGGTGATCTGAATTTAGCAAAGGCACTCAGTTTTCTTGCCAGACATTAGTTAGATGAAGCAGAAGGAGCAGAGCAGCACATTCAGCAGCAGAATAAGAGCAGCTGTGGGACTGCTGCCTGGAAACAGGTGTCTGAGTGCTAAATGTGACGACGTTTCATCAGAGTTGTTGCTCTCCACGTCCAGATTTTTTCTCCCTCTCTCTCTGCTGATTGCATCCTCTGAGTCGAGATGTTACACAGCTATATCTGTACATGGGTCAGTGTGTGCCGGCTGCTTTAAACACTGTAAATGCTCTTATTATTGCTTGCGCTTTTTGTCCTCATTCAATATTTCTGCATTATAAAAAGCTGATTTATGAAGAAATCACTTTAAATTAAAGTCTCCTAATAGGCATGTTTTTACTGCAACAAATGTTATGAGAGAAAAGAAAAAAGTACAAATTTAGTTTTGAGGAAATCATCCAGACATCAGATTCTAAAGTGAGGTAATAAATCAGCTACAATACATTATTTAAAATTACTGTGACATCAAATTTACGTGATAAATACAAATCATCAGTGGATAGGACTGACGCCTCACAGCAAAAAGGTCCCGACTTGGACCGACAGCTCGGGGGGAGAATACCTGAATGAAACAACACAGACAATTGCAAAAAATCTGATTTTTTTTAGAACCTATTGAGTCACTTTTACAGAAAGATAAAGAAGAGTCAAAGTTTGTAAAACCCAGGGAGATTGTGGTTACTTTCTGTTTCACTTCAGCAAATTATTTTTTTTTTAATTCATGTGACAAAGGAGGTAAAATCATGTGCAATGTGTCAACATTTCTTAAATATTAAGATGTTCTTTGTAGAAAATGTATCCAGGCACTTTATTTACCCCAGACTTCTTGTGTCTCCTGTGTGTCTGCAGATCTACCTGCGCTTCATTGACTACCAGATGGAACACTCGAACGAGTGCAAGAAGAACTTTGTGGCCGTGTACGACGGCAGCAGCGCCATCGAGAACCTTAAGGCCAAGTTCTGCAGCACGGTGGCCAATGACCTGATGTTGGACAATGGTGTGGGAGTCGTACGAATGTGGGCCGATGAGAAAAGCAGACTTAGTCGTTTCCGAATGCTTTTTACCTCTTATATTGACCGTAAGTGACTATCCTTTTAAAGAGAATCCCCCTTTATAARATTGAATCTTTTGTTGTCTTTGCTGAGTTTGGGAAATGTTTTAATCCCAGGTTTAACAATATATTGTCTTCTGCTGAACAGTAACTGAATAAACTGATAAGCTGTAACATTATGACACAATATGCCATATCCACCCTCACACAGACACAAACACAGGAGCAGTTAACGTGTTCTGTCCGGCTTCCTGTCAGCAGTCACCATCGGACACCATTTCAGCAAGGAAAGCTAATTACCCTGTGACACGTTCAGAGCAAAGATATGAGAAAACCAATTATTTACTCCAGCATTTTATTTAAATAACTGAAAGCACCAGATAACATCCTGCTATGTGCATCACAGCGCTGTTTATTAGAAGTCACTTACAAAAGGAGGAAATGAATTTATTTTCTTTATGATGGTGAAAAGATGAGCTCAGAGGGGTTAATAGAAATTATACACGAAGCTTCATCACTTTTAAAAGACAAAAAGGCTTCAAGCAAATGCTCTCAATGGTGGCACATAAAGTGGCAGAAATTACCATGCAGGAAACCACTTTTCTGTTAACACTCTGAAATATTTCCATTAAATGGCTGAATACGCTGAGATATTAATTGCCACATTCTCCTGCACACATCCCAAAYCCTGGGTGAATGCTAATGTTATTTTCATCAGTAAACCCCAGACCACTGCACTGAGAACTTAATGGCTTTTAAATTCAGCACGCATATTTATTTTTACTGTTATTGTTAGAATCTCTCAGACCATTTGGATCGTCATTAATTCAGATCAGATTGTTAATCTCTGACAAGCCGGAACACCCGTGAATAAGTCCCAAACTTTGTTTGGTCCGTCAGTGGCCGGGTCAGAGTTGGCCTGGAGATCAGAGGGAGTCGTTAATCTCTGTTTTTTCCTTCCACACTTCATCATCCTTAATGTGCTCCTGTGTGGGATGTAGCCAGAGTTACTAACATTTTATTAAAAATACATTCACCTACACCAAAACATGGGTCAAACGATGGTTTTCTTGTTTAAGAGCAGGCTGGGGGGAGGAGTTTAGAGTACCGAAGCCACCTCTGAGAAGCCGTGTAGATAGATTGTTACATTATTGCTTTGAAAGTGATCAATGTTTGAAGGTAGCAACCACATCTGCCGGCCCACTACAAGGTACACACACACACACACACACTACACACAATCTCCCCTTCACTACCTCAACCACATGTCCATGTGCGTGTCACTTTGTCAAAGTCATTTAACCCAGAGGCAGATCGAGCAAGCGGGGGTGGATGAGGGCTGGGGGGGAGTCGTCTCAGAGCTCTCATCACTTCAGACCTCAGCGTAGGGGTGAACCTAACGGAGCAAACCAGAGTCTGTTTCGGCTGCGACTCGGAGAATGTGTGCTCAGCGGCTAAATGTGTGTGTAAAATACGAGAAAGGACAATTATTTTTTAGAGTTGCTGCAGTTAGGATTAACGAACCAGAAAAGAAAGAGGTTGAACGTTGCATTCTCCAGGTGCTTTATGTTTTTATGAGTGGGATCAGTCTGCCTAACCTTTCTGATCATCCACATTAGGATTTTATGACTGTTAAATCACTGATATCACTCTTTTTATTTGCTGTTGTTGCCTTAAATTTTTTGTTCAACAACATTTTGGAATAACACTTTTTATTTTACAAAACTGACAGTGAAGCTAACTTTTGTCTGTATCATGTGTGTCTGTCAGAAAAAGAATCACATGTTGCTCCTCAGGACATTTCTTATCTGTCTCATGAGGGGGGGGGATGAAAGGCAGCCCTTTAAAGCAAAACAAGGTTTTATTCATTTCATGGGATTAAGAGTTTCTTTTTTTAGAGTTCTGAGATTTTATTTCAGTCATTTTTAACTTTTTGATTCACAAGTCAAGATCACACACACTAAAAACAAAACAGAATTAATACAGAAAATAGATAATAAGCAATCTTTGAAGTCTTGTTAACACAAGGTATAGACTGAAAAAAGTGTATTTAGAAGCATTTTACTAGATCAAAAAACAAAATTAATAATAATAATAATAATAATAAT